AGGTTATTTTTGGAGGAAAACATCAGCAGCTGGGGGAGGTCAAAAAAGGCTTCTTGTAGAAGTTGGTGTTTAACCTGAGCCATAAAAGAAACAAGGCGTTTTAAGATACAAAGACAGGGAGAAAATGCTTTCCATGTAGGGAGGCAATGAGACCAAAGGCCCAGAGACAGGAGATGTTGTGCATGCCGCCGCGTACCTGAAGAATAATAAGGTCACTTTGGCTGGAACATAGTGTGTGGGAAGGGGAATTATGAGTATTAACCGTGGAAAAGTAGGTTGTGGCCAGGATCTTAAATGACAAATAGAATAGTTGGTATTTAGTATTATTTTAATTTATGTAATATTTGTACTTATATTCATTTATATAATAAATATAATAAATAAATAATAATCACATATAATATATTGCATATTGTTATATAATATATTAGATATAATATATAAATATAATATTATATATAATTGTATAATATATTATATAATAAATGATAATAGGAAGCTCCTGGAGTTTCCTGGGTGTAGTAACATAGTCAGATCCATGCTTTCGGAAAATCACTATGTGAAGAATGGATTGGAGCAGAAAGCTTAGCTTGGGAGAATAGTTGAGAAAATGCGCCACATTTATCCCTTCCACATCTCAACTTTCCCCATCTTGGTCTTGATATGTTGCAGGGTGGCATAAGATATTAAATGGGAATTTTTTCAGAGTTTTGCAGAAGCTGCAGACAACATTCAAAGGTCAGCAGATGACACAGAAAAAGCTTAGAAACTCAGAAATGCATAAAATATATGTATAGTATCATATAATATCAACATATTTGCTTTTAATACCATAAATATACACAATTTTTTAAAAAGTTAAAATAAATGAAAAGTTAAAGTTTGTGAAAGCCAGGAAGGTAGACATATCTTAAAAAGTTTAGTAACTCAAAAGTGCATAAGATGTATGTACTGTTATGTGTAATTTTACCTCTATAGTATGTATTTTATTGTTTAATAACATAAATGAATAGCTACACATTTTTTCCCTTAGAATTAAATTTGTAATAAAAGAACTGCAGTTCTACTCAGTGGTTTGGGGATGCCAAGCATGTTTACTACAATCTCTTACATGACGTTTTGCAGTGATCAGTGATCCCACAGTGATCTTTACATCTCTAGTATCTTGTGCTGTTTAAATTGCAAAGGAAAAGCCAAAAAATTTTACACTGATTTTCCAGATTTTGGGGGAGGTGGGGCAAGGGAGCAAGGGGTACCTTGCCCTTAACCCCTGTGATGTGGAAGGGATAACTGTACATGCATATCTGCCAAGGTGGAGGATAATGGGTGTGTAATATTGCATACATATCCTGTGAGACTCAATTAGTGAGTCAATTTTGCTGAACTGCTTTTTTCTCTTTCTTTTTAAGATTTTGTTGCAAGAAATGACTGCTGAGCTGGGGGGGAGGGGGGATTTTGGAAATGAAGGTAATAAAAAAGAAAATATATCAATATACAACATTTTAAGTTAGAAAAGGCAGTCAGTATCATGTGGAATTTTATACCTTTCAAAGTGCTTTCTCATCCATTATCCCATTAGATCCTTAGAACAACTCCATGAGTTTAGTAGAATGGATATAACTATCCTCATTGGACAAATGAGGAAATTGGGCTCAGAGAAAACCACGCAAGTAGGTAATGACAGGGCTGGAAAGAAGTTTCAGCTGCTCATTCTTCATGGTTAGATTACAAACTCCCTTTACAGTCACCGCACATATACTTACCAAGCATATACTGTGTGCCCAGCACTTTACTGGGCATTATGGGGGATTCAAAGAAATAGGAGCCATGGTCCCTGCTCTCAATGAACTTTTCATTGATCCCAAAGTACTATGAAAGGCAGCTAGGTGACATATTGGATTTGAAGTTGGGAAGACTTGCGTTCAGAATCCTGCTTTAGGCATTTAACTAGCTGTGTGACCCTGGGCAAGTCACTACCCTCTCTCTATCTCAGTTTTCTTATTTGTAAAATAAGGATGATAGTAATACCTACCTCATAGGGTTGTTGTGAGGATCAAGTCTGATAACATGTAAAGTGCTTTGCAAACTTGAAAGCATTATATGAATGCGAGCTGTTATTTTTAGGCACTGCATAAGTACTCCTTAAATCTTTGTCCAATGAACGGATATTTGTTGAAAGATTCAGGGTACTTTAACATTGGAGGAAGTACCCGGTGTTTAACAAAATGACTTTTCTCAAAACTTGTGGAAGAAGCTTCCTTTGCTCTATGTTGTTGTTCGTCCTTCATTTTGGAAGAGGACCAATAATATCGCAAGTGATGTCTTGACTTGTGTGTGAGTTAGATTTAGGTGAGGCAGAGTTGCACAAAGTCATCAGCCATACTCTCTCTTCCAGAGCAATCAAAATCCAGTGGCAAGACAAATGTTAGGATGACTGGCAATGGCCTGGGATACAGTGGATGACCTTGGCATCTTTGATGTCTGACCAAGCTCTAAGTGCTTCAAATTGAAGTGTCAGATACAAATGGGGAAAATTTAATTGCCCATTCAAAGGAGGGCAGTGGGGAACAATCAGTCTCTGCTTTTTTGCTCTCGCCCTAATACTTTTCATGATTTAAGTTAAGAAACTTTTTAGAATCATAGAATGTCAGAGCTGGTAGGGACCTTAGGGGTCATTTTATAGATGAAGAAACAGACTCAGATAAGCTAAGTGATTTACCCAATGTCACACAGCAAAAGTCAAGGTTGGCAATTGGACCCTGGAGAAAGTCATAAAGTTGGGTCTTTAGAGGAGAGCTTTGCTGAGAATCAGAATGGCAAGAAAGAAAGAACACTGGACTTGGGGCTAGAAAGCCTGAGCCTGAAGTGAATCCTGAGAACTGACTGTGCCATTGATGGAAGACTGTGAGCAAGTCACTATGCCTCTGAGAGCCTCAGTTTCCTCATTTATAAAATGGAGATAGTGATACTTGCACTACTTATCTCCCAAGGTTGTTTTAAGAAAAATGTTTTTGAGGGGCAGCTAGGTGACACAGTGGATAGAGCACCAGCCTTGGAGTTAGGAGGACCTGAGTTCAAATTTGGCCTCAGACCAAACATTTGACACTTACTAGCTGTGTGACCCTGGGCGCTTAACCCCTGGACACTTAACCCCAATTGCCTAAAAATTAAAAAAAATGTTTTTGAAAGCATAATAAAAATGTCTGCTGTTATAATGCATTCTGAGGATATGTTATTAAGTTTGAATAAGGTAGCCAACACCCATTCCCATTAAAAACACTAGAGATCATAGGAATAAAGGGAGCATTCCTTAAAATGAATAATATAGCCGAGATGCTACTGTTACACATTCCCTCAGAGCCAAATGATGCCAAAATTATGGAGCATGCACAGTTTCATTTTGGCTGATCTCATAAAGCAGCATATCACAGTTCTGGGTCCCTAGACGATACATCTATCACACATACCAGAGTACACACAAGACCTTGGTTTATGCAGATGTCTCATTCCTAACCATGACTTTCCAGAAAGTCATCTTTTAAAAGAAGGCATTTGGATGGGAAAGGAGGAAAGTTGCCAAGAGGTCAATTGAGGCTCTATATAATGAAACACTTCCTACAAATTAGAACTGCCTAAAAGTGAAATGGACTATATCCAGGGGTGGGAGGAATCTCCCTCTTTGGAGGTCTTCAAGAAGGGACCAAATGATTACTTGTCTGACATGTTAAAGGGGGCATCCCTACATGTATAGGTTGGACTTTGTTGTTGTTGTTTAGTCATCTCCAACTCTTCATGACCCCCTCTGGGGTTTTCTTGGCAAAGATACTAGAGTGGTTTGCCATTTCTTTCTCCAGCTCATTTTACAGATGAGGAAACTGAAGCCAACAGGGTTAAGTGACTTGCCCAGGGTCATACAGCCAGTAAGTATCTGAGGCTAGATTTGAACACAGGTCTTCCTGTCTCAGGCCTGGTGCTCTATCCACTGTGCCACCTGGCTGCCCTAGGTAAACTAGAAGGCCATTGAGGTCCCATCCAAATCACAAATCCTATGATTCTACAAAACAGATGAGGGAGAGACCGATGATGGGAAATATGTTCTATTTAGCCTCAGTGCAAAGGTCATTTGAGGACAGAGTTGGAATAAATTCTTCTTGTTCTCCCCACCCCTCCACTGATCCTAGTTTTCAGTTAATACATGGAGTTCCTCTATTCATTTATGAAACTCTGTCCTGGTCATTGGCAACTACTTTTTTGAGATGTAGAGAATTTCACAAAATAAAGCTGACCAATAATACTAAAACCAGTAAGCCTTTTCTTGGGGACATATAATAATAAGAATAACAATAATAACAATAAATTAATAAAACATTTATCTGGGATTTGCTAGACATTTTACATATATTACTTCATTGAACCTCAAAACAATCCTGTGAGGTAGGTGGGACAAGTATACCCATTTCATATACAAGGAAACTAAAGCCGAGACCAGTAAGCAATTTGTCCTATGCTACTCAGCCAGTAAATGGTTGAGGCAAGACTGGTCTTCCTGACTCCCAGTCTAGTGGTTGATTCCTCAATCTGTCACCTAGTCACTTTGCATGAGGGAAAGTGCTTAACTTTAGACTTGGGGGTGGAAGGAGAGGTATCTAGCTTAAGGAAGGCATTGAGGAAAGAAAGGACAAAAATGCATTGAGTTTGCAGTAGGGATGTGCTGAAATTACCTGGAGCTGGCTCTCAAAAGCTCATTGTTACAATTTGAGCGTTAGCCTTTAAACCTCAGAAATCAGGCAATGCTAGAAATCAAGGCTCGATGTATTGTTTTATTTATTGTTTAGGCTTGGTGGAGAAAACATTAAGAACACAGATTAAACTTAAAAATAGATTGCACATACATATTCCTCCCCCCCCACCCCAAGATCTGGTTGTTAAACATTTACCAGCGCACCCCTGGCTCATCATTACCTCAGAGACAAAGACACAGAGGAATCTCTAGAAAGGCCAAGAAACAATAGGATTGTGGGTTTAGCAATGATCTCCAAGTTCAGCAGCTGGAGGAAGGCAATCAATGATCCAGAAGAAAGACACTCTCCTTGCTCCGGCATCTGGCTTCCAGATGATTCCAGCTTCTCTGTGACTTCTCCAGGTCTTTGGTACTGGATACCTGGGCGGTCCTAAGAAATAGGTTAGCATTATGATGTAGAAGAAGAAGGAGGGTCAGATACTTTACAGGAAATGGTGACGTGACGAGTCACCCTCAGGAACGTCTAATTGGTTTTTCACACCTCTGCCAACACAGGCAGGAAGGTAAGAATCAATGAGGGAAATGAAGGTTTCCAGCCAGGAAGATTCCAAATATGAGGGTCTGTCTGTGGTGCCATGCCAGACAAGAACGGGGTGAGTATATGTAGAGAGAGGTAGTCTGTCTGTAGAAGAACTACTCCTGAAACAAGGCTTCCAAGGGTTCTTACTGTTTTCAGAGCACTATGCTAGGTGCTGAGAGGCATATAAAGTTTAGATAAGACAGAGTTTCTGCCTTCAAGGAACTTAAAGTATGGAAATGTGATGAGACATAAACACAAGAGAATAGATTCATCTGGAGAGCTTAAAGTCTGATAGCTGAATGTTGTTGTGTCATTTTCAGTTGTATCCGACTCTTCATGACCCCATTTGGGGTTGTCTTGGCAAAGATTCTGGAATGGTTTGCCATTTCCTTCTCCAGCTCATTTTATAGATGAACAAACTGAGATAAACAAGGCTAAGTAACTTGCCCAGGGTCACATGACTAGTTAAGTTTCTGAGGCCAGATTTGAACTCAGATCTTCCTGACTCCAGGCCTGGCACTCTGTCCATTGTGCCACCTAGATACTATGCAATAATACTTGGTAAGTGCCTTACTAAGATAGGAAAAAAAAAGGATGTGTGAGGTCTTAAGGTGAGACCATTTCTGACAAAGGGTATTTAAGTACTTGCTGCTTCCTTATTAGAAAAATTGTCTTTACAATATTCAGAAATAAACATCCTGAGAGGAAACAGAAATGTTGAGTCACTTTGGTCGAAGGCTTTGCAATCATGTTTTATTTGTGACTCTTCTGGGACACTCAAGAAATTGCCAAGAGAAGATATATAGGAACAATCAGACTGGCAACTATTATAAATAAGGAAAATGACATATGTTGGAGGGGCTGAGTGAAGAAAGGCACGTTAATGTGCCACTGGTAGAGCTGTGAAGTGGTCCAGCCCTTCTGGAAAGCAATAAGGTTCTCTTCTCTGCCTAAAAAATGAAAGATGAAAAAAGAAGAAAAAGAAGGCCAGAAGAAACAACAGACAAGGACAGCTTTGAAAGTTACATGTCGAATATGTAGTTGGAAGGAGATATATATATGCATACATATATATGTGTGTGTGTGTGTGTGTGTGTGTGTGTGTGTATGCATTTGGAAGGAAAGGCAAACTCAACTTAGTAGAGATTCTTAGTTCATGCACAATCTTCTCCTGTTTCACAACATATATGGAATGCTCATTTTTTGGTGTTTGTTAAGTTCAAAATAAAAAGAAAAAATGGTAAAAAAGAAAATATCGATACAGAGAAATTCATGTTAATCATTAGCATAGTGATAATGCCTTGGGACAGCTAGTTGGCTCAGTAGATAAAGTGCCAGGCCTGGGGTCAGGAAGATGAGTCTTCCTGAGTTCAAATCTAGACTTAGATACTTACTAGCTGTGTGACCCTGGGCAAGTCACTTAACCCTGTTTGCCTCAGTTTCCTCATCTGTAAAATGAGCTGGAGAAGGAAATGGCCAACCATTCTAGTATCTTTGCCAAGAAAACCTGAAATGGGGTCACAAATAGTTGAAATGACTGAACAACAACAATGTTTCTTGGTCCAGCAGTATGGTCTGGTCCTGGTTGTTGCTGCCAGGGCCAATGTGCTTGGCCAAGTGTGATGGGTGATTTAATCTCAACCTTATATTCAAGACCTTCTCCTAATGACTTCTCTGGGAGCCAGAGCCAACAGTTCACCGCAACAGATTCAGGATGTTGCCATTCAGTCAAAGCTGGGTACAGGAAGTGCCAGCTTTGAGTATAGCAAAATCATAAGAAGTTCAAAGGATCAAAGCATTTCAGAATCAGAAGGTACTTCTCAGCTATCTAGTCAAACCCATACAGACAATCATGGATTTAGAGCTAGGGAGAAGCTTAAAGGTCATCTGGGCCAGCCCACTCATTTTGAGGAACTTCATTCAAATCCAGGCAGGTGAAATGATTTTTTTTTTTTGCAATTGGGGTTAAAGTGACTTGCCTAGGGTCACACAGCTAGTGTCAAGTGTTTGGTCTGAGGCCGGATTTGAACTCAAGTTTTCCTGACTTCAGGGCTGGTGCTCTATCCACTGCGCCATCTAGCTGCCTGGAGGTGAAATGATTTTTACATGTCCAAAAAGTGATCTTCTGGCTTTTGCTTGAAGACCTCCAGTGAGAGATAACCTATTATCTCCCAAGGCAGCCCATTCCATTTTGGAAAGCTCTAATTGTTAAAACATCTGTTCTTCCATCGAATCCATTTTTGCTTTTTTTTAGGCTTCTACACATTCATCCTGGTTCTGCCCTCTAAGGTTAAGCAGAAAAAAATTCTTCTTCCACATATCCCTTCAACTACTTGAAGAGTGCTATCAGTCAAAAAACAAGTACTCATTAAGTGCTTCCTGTGTGCTAGACCCAGTACTAGGTGCTGGGGATACAAAGAAAGACAAAAAAGGGGCAGTCCTTGCTCTCAGTGAACACACAGTCCAATAAGAGAGATGACATGCGAAGCACCATGTACAAAAATGGTATTTGGAGAATGAATTGCAGATAAATGTAGATGGAAGCCACTAGCGTTTGGAGAAATCAGAAAAGGCTCCTACAGGAAAGACGATTTCATCCGGGACTTGAAGGAAGCTGGGGAAACCAAATGAGGAGGGAGAGAATTCCAAGCATGGGGGCCAGACAGGGAAAATTCAGAATGGAAATGGAATGTCTCATGTGAGGATTAGCAAGGAAGCCAGAGTCACTAGTTGGCAGACTATGTGGAAGAGAGTGAGGAATAAGAAGATTGAAAGGGTAAGAAAGGGTTAGAACAGAGCATGAAGGGCTTTGAAAGTCAAACTAAGGATTTTATAGTTGATCCTGGAGGAGATGGGAAGCCATTGGAGTTTATTAAATAAGAGAGGGATGTGGTCATATCTGTGCTTTAGGATGATCAATTTAACAGCTGAGTTGAGGATGGCTGGGAGTAGAGAGAGAATGAAGTCAGAGAGATTAATTGAGCCTTACGTATGTCTTCTGTTCTTTGGGGTGACCATCAATGACCACTTCAAATGATCCTCACATGACACAAATTCATAGATTATCATTTCTCTTTATTATCATTATAGAATTTAATTAATGTTATTACTGATGGTAATTTTTATCTCATGCTACATAAGCACTATGGGCCCACATTGTAAAGACAATAACACATGTGAAGATCATTGATTTGATTTATTAATAGCATTCACTTTTTATGACCATTACTATTGTCACTACCCACATTCACTTAGATTAATCTGGTTAACAAAGACAGTCATTAACCAAGTATATTATCATCATGGATCATTTTGGATCCCTTCTAATTCTGTCTATGATTGTTAAGTTGTGACAGGTAGCCAAAAAGTACCACCTTCTGAACCCAAGTCAACTTATAATGAATCCCTAACTCCTCAAAATGTTGAGTGTGCTGTTGTTATTTTGAAGAATATTTTTGTTGCTCAGTTGTTTCTCAGTTGTGTCCAAATCTTTGTGACCCCATTTGGGTTTTGTTTTGTTTTTTGGCAAAGATACCGGAGTGGCTTGCCATTTCCTTCTCCAGCTCATTTTACAGATGAGGACACCAAGGCAAACAGGGTTAAGTGATTTGCCTAGGGTCACACAGCTAGTACCCAGAAGCTAATTGTGTTCCTATCAAGCATACATTAACAAAGCTGACTCATAGTTACTAATATGAGAAGCCCCCAGTGTCTCACTTAAGAAATTTGTTATTGAGAGAATATGCAAAGTTTGGCTGGGTCTCAGATGACATCTGCAAAAACAAGTCTGTGAAGTCTTTAGGGATCCATCATTTCTTCCTTTCTGGGTAGCATGATTCTGAAGACAGCTTGGTTTCCACTCAGGAACTCCTCCATTTACAAACTGTTTGGTTTCTTGCCTGGGTAGTGATTGCAATATCCTAGATAACATTGAGAAATTCGGCAAAGGCCAAGAGAGAAGAGAAAAGGCCACGTAGTACTGCTGACCAGGCACCAGTGACTGTGTGTCAGGAGATCTGAACTCTAACTCTTGATTTATGAGTCTTCATTCGCAGGCAGCATGCCAGAGTAGACAGAGAGCCATCCTCAAAACCAGAAAGTCCTGCTTTCAAGTTCCATCTCTGATCCATACCGTCTCTGTGACCCTGTGCAAGATGCTTAATCTCGGTGCTCTGGGCAACTCTCTTAGGTTATAAATTGCTCAGAAGATACTGGTGTACACTGGGAGGAGATGACTCCTCTAGCAGTTCCTTATGTAATTAAATCACAGACCCAGGCCCTATTCTACACTGAATCACAGATACAGAGCTAGAAAGGATTTTAAAAGTCATCTAGTCCACCTGGCTCATTATACAGATGAGGAAACTGATGCACAGAGAAGTTAAAAGATTTGGTCAAGGTCACAGTATAAGTGACAGAAACAGGCTTTGAACCTAGGTCCTGTGCCTCCAAATCCAGGTGTCTTTTCACAGTTTCCAATCATAAGCCCAGGCCCTATCCTTATTCCTATTTACTATGTGGCCGCAAGCCATTGCTTCCTCACCAGTGCCCTCCCACCCCTCTTTTGCTTATCAAAATGATACCCATAAATATTTAATGAAATAAATAAAATGTATTTAAAAAAGAAAAAAGAGACCCATCTTTCTAAGCCTTAATTAAAGCCTTGAAGTTTTCCCCTATTTTAATCCACCATAATCTCTTTCTTTCTTGTTCTCTTGTAGCATATATTGTTTCAAACAATTAATGGTCATCTATCATATTCCACCATGTATTTGGGGGGAAGGGGCAGCTAGGTGGTACAGTGAATGAGTACGTGGCCTGGAGTCAAGAAGACTCAGCTTCCTGATTTCAAATCTGGTCTCAGACACTAACTGTATTACCCTGGGCAAGTCACCTAATCCTGTTTGCCTGAGTTTCCTCATCTGTAAAAGGAATTGGAGTTGGAAATGGCAAACCACTCCAGCATCTTTGCCAAGAAAACCCCAAATGGGGTCACTACTGAAAAACAACTTAATCATATATTTTTAGTTATTTTTAGTTATTCTTTCAATGTGTACATGTCACATTGTGTACTGTCACACACACACTCCCAGATTGAAAGCCTCTTGAAATCAAGGATGCCCTCTCTTTTTCCTTTCTCTGCATCTTTCTTTGATTCAGGACTGATGCATTGCACATCGTATCTAATAGATGTTTGATGGATAAATTAGGCAAATGGGCAAGTCATTGATAGAGAGGGAATAGCAGTGGAATGGGAATCAGGGGTCCTGGGTTAAAATCCTGACTCTGCTACCCAATCTGTGTGACCTTAGGGAAATAACTTCTCTTGGTATCTCATTTTCTTTGTCTATAAAATGTGGGAGTTGAATTAGATGACCTCTGTGGTCCTCTCTAGCTCAAATCAATTATTTTACTAGCCTCAGTGGGGCAGATAGGTGGCCTTAGAGTCAGGAGGAACTAAGTTCAAATCTGGCCTCAGTCACTTGATGTGTGTACCCCGGACAGGTCACTTAACCCTATTTGCCTCAGTTTTTTCATCTGTAAAATGAACTGGAGAAGGAAATGGCAAACTACTCCAGTATCTTTACCAAGTCAACTCCAAATAAATTCATGAAGAGTCAGACACAACTGAAAATGACTGAATGACAACTAGCCTCATTTTCTCCATGTTTATAAAGGTATAGTACCAGTAGAATGCTTTCCATCACACTACCACATTACCACAATGAATATAATAAAGTTCAATTATGAGAAACACTTTGTACTCCTTGTAAGAAAGTCATTACCAAAATGTCAGATCTAACCCAACTTGCTGAAGCCAAGATACAAGGTCCAACGTCACAGTCATCTGAAGGGTCAGTCAGCTAGCTTGGCGCTGCTCAGTGTTCACAAACTCTAATGATGACCCAGCAGTCCTTTGTCTCAATAAGTCATTCTGGAGGTCTTGTTCTCCAAGTGGAATCAATTGCAGAATCGGTTTTAGAGTTGGGAGAGACTTCAGACGTCATCTTACCCAACCTGTGCCTTACCAGGAATCCTGTCCATAATGTGCTTGCCATTATGCAGGACCCTATTAGAGAGTCATAGAACATTAGCACTAAAAAAGATCTTTGAAAACAACTAGTTATAGGATCATAAGATTGAAAATAAATTTGCTACACACAGGAAAGAAGTAGTGATCTTCCTAAAGACCAGGTCTTATCATGTCACTCCCATCCCCCACCCAATAAACTCCAGTGGTTCCCAATCACCTTCAAAATAAAATGTAGATACCATTATATATGTATATATGTATATATATATATTAATAATAACATGTAATGATTGATAATAATACATAATCCTCTCTGGGGATTTTTTAAGCTCTTCATAAACTAATCCTTTCCTGTACTTCTGATCTTCTTATATTTTACTCCCTCATCTACTCTATAACCCCTCCTTGCACATCACCCTCCATTTCCTGACTCTGGGACTTTTACTTCACAGTCCCCCATGTCTGGAAAGTTCTCCTTCCTCATCCCCATCTCTTGACTTCCCTGGTTTCTTTTAAGACTCAGCTTAAGTCCTACCCTCTGCAGAAGTCTTTCCCACCCCCATTTCCTAGGTCAGGGGTGGGGAACCTACAGCCTTGAGGCCACATGTGGCCCTTTAGGTCCTCAAGTTCTCAAGAACAAATTTGTTCTGTGAAGTTTGGATTCAGTCGAAGGACCACACTTGAGGACCTAGAGAGTGACGTATGTCCTCGAGGCCACAGGCTCCCCACCCCGTCTAGGTCCTTTCCTTTGGAATTACTTCCCATTTGAACTGTAGATGTCTTGTGTGCATATGACTGTTTGCAAGTTTTCTCTGCCACTGAACTATGAGTTTCTTGGGGGAAGAGACCACGTTTTTGCTTTTCTTTGTATTCCCCTAGTACTTGGCACTGTATCTGGAAAAGAGTAAGTGCTTAGTAAATACTCATTGACAGACTGGCTGAGATTAAATAATAGATTAATGAGGTACCATATTGAGGGATAATAGATCCAGAGCTAGATGATACCTCAACAGCCGTGTAGTCCAAACCGCTCATTTTACAGATAAGGAAACTGAGGCGCAGGGAGGTTAAGTGACTTGTTCAAGGTGACACAGTGGCCAAACAGTTTGACATTGATTCATCACTTGGTTTCTTCCCTTAATAACGGTTTGCTTACCTGCCAGTGGATAGCGTGGAGATGGTTCAAATATCACAATAGTGACAGGGCATCGAGTTCCCGTTTCCATTCTGGTTTAGTACGGATGTTGGTAAACTGATGCCGGGGGAGAATGACATGAATCATGAGGGGATTTGCGATGATGCAATATGAGAAACCATTGAAGTCATTTCAGATCTTTAGTCTGGTAAAGAGAAAACACGGGGGTTGGTGGTGGGAGGAACAAAACTTTGAAATGTTTTAAGCTTTGTCGTGTGGAAGACAGATTAGTCTTAAAGTGAGTAGTTCCAGAGAACAAATTAAGACAAGAAGGTGAAAGTTATGAGGAGGAAGATTTCAGCCAAAAATAAGGAACAGATTTGAAATAATGAGACCTGTCTGAAAATGGAATGGGTTGTTCTGTGAGGTAGTGAATTCACCCGTCAGTGTTCACACAGAAGGCAATAGAGACTTCTCAGGGAAATTATAGAGGAGATTTCCATATCAAGAAACAGAATGGCGTATGAGAAAGAATGTTGGATTTAGAGGTAGCAGAACTGGGTTCAAATTCTGGCTCTTCCACTTACTATGTTATTGTACTCTAGTCATCCTACCTCTCTGTGACTCAGTTTCCTCATCTATAAAATAGAGGAATAGAACAGATGGACTGCAAGTTCCCTTTCAGCTCCATATCTGTTTTCCTATGTTCTTATGCAGTAGAGTATTGAACTAAGTCAAGTAGAGGCAGTTAGGTAGTTCAGTGCATAGAGCACTGGGCCTGGGGTCAGGAAGACCTGAGTTCAAATCTGGCCTCAGATATTTACTTGCTGTGTGACCCTGGGCAAATTACTTAACCTCTTTTTGCCTCAGTCCACTGGAGAAGGAAATGGCAAACCATCCCAGTGTCTTTCCAAGAAAACCCTTCGGACAGTATTGACATTCTATGGTCCCCAGTCATGAAGGGTGGGATACTACTGAACAACTGAACAGCAGCATTGAACAAAATGACCTCTGAAGTTCCTTCCAAGCCTATAGTTCTATAATGTAGAATATAGTTTGAACCCTTCAAAGGAAGTCACTATTTCTCACAAAAACTCTGTTCCCGGTTCTAATGAGGGAATATTAGAGTTCCCCTTAGTCACTTACCCTCCCTAGGCATCAGTTTCTTCATCTATAAATGAGGGGGATGGACCGCATGACCTCTGAACTCCTTCAAGCTCTGAATCTGTGGTTCTATCATCCCTTAATCACTTGATCTACTTTTTGTGTGCATGTAGCAAACTAATTCCTTTCAAAAGTGTCACCCTCTTTAAGCAAGTTGTATTGTAAAATCAGAGACATTATTATACTTAGTTTCACATTCGGCAAAGCCTCTAATGTAGCGTAAATGTCTGAGATTTCCACTCCTATATCAAACAAGAAGGTGAGGGGGTTGTTTGATGATCCTTCTTCCCATCGAGGTGTTTCTCACCCCCCTTGGATCCTTTGTCTCAAGGAATAACTGTGCTTCTAATTTATTCTAAGGTGATTGCTACCCACAACTTTTGTGTGTGTGTGTGGCAATTGGGGTTAAGTGACTTGCCCAGAGTCACATAGCTAGTGAGTATTATATGTCTGAGGCCAGATTTGAACTCAGGTCCTCCTGACTTCAGGGCCAGTGCTCTATCCACTGCACCACCTAGCTGTCCCAACAACTTTGTTTTATAGAAGGCTTTCTAGAGAGGTATGCCAATGGGCAGAGCATAATTGTTTTTGATTCACAGGACCAGAATGAGAAACAGTTACTAGAAACTGGGTTCTGTGCTTTGGAGTCTGTCTCAAATTTGCCTCCCAATGTAGTGCCCAGACTCATACAGATAGAGGCACCATCTCAGATAGTAACTACCTGAGTCCAACTCAAGCTTGCATTCAGAGACATCTCATATGGGGCCCCTTCTTCCTGCCTAGACATTAGACTAGCTTACTTTTTCTTGGAGAAAATAGTATTATTTTTCACTTTTGTTCCATGGCTGGATTTAAGTCCTTTTAAATGTTAGCTGGTGCCATTGCTTGCTAATCTATTTTCCTCCTGCTGGCTTACGAGCAATTTCTGAAGTCTGTGTGGAAATCATTGTTAGTCATACCTATATTTAGGACTTGAGCTAAATTGATTCGATGCCTTCAAAGCAAAAATAAAATAAAGAATTAAGAAGAGGGGGCAAGTTTGATAGGAATGTACTTTCTCCACATTTGTACTTTTTAAAATGGAAACTTTTATTCTGTGGGTGGATTTTTTAAAAATAACAGACACAAAGGAAAGGATTATAACACATGTATGTGTAATAGACTGCAAGAAAGACATCTTTCCCTTACAAGTTTTCCTAGAATTACCAAAGGGACACTCTATTTTTTTCTGCAGAAAAGCAGTTACAGGAAAAAGGATATGGTCAAGTTTAGTCAGTACCTTAACCTTAATTTTCACCTTAAGAGCCTAAGTTTATTCATTTATCAAGTATTTACTGAGCACCTGCTGCATGCTTAGTGCTGTAGTAACTGCTAGCCAGAGGAACCAAAATAGTTTCAGAAGTGATCCCTGACCTCCAGGTGCTTACACTGTAATTGGGCAGAAAAGATTTCTACACATGAGAAAAAGTTAAATAATAGTATAAGGTAAAAATTGCTGGTAAGAGCCTGAGTGAACAGGGCAGACAATAAGTGCGCTAGGAATTCAGAATAGGAGGGGACCAGTGTGACTTGCAGCAAGCAGGGAAAGATCTAATATAGTCGAAGGCATGGAGTTGGGTCTCGAAGGATGGGTAGAATCTGAATAGGCAAAGAAAAAAAGAAGGGCTTGCCAGGAGGAAATTGTAAGGAAAGTGAATTTTAGTGTGTGTAAAGTGGGTTTTTTGTTATTCTTTCTTAGAGTTTTCTTCTCCTGATCCATAGCCATAACAATCTACTTTCCAGGTGTTAGATACGAGTTCTCATGATCATGGCTCAAAACAATTTCTACTGTGTAGTCACAATAGATGTAGGGGTGAAGTAATGTAAAATTGAGAGGCTATTGTAAAATGCCTTCTTTGTCTGTTGCCCTATAAAGCAAGTGGGCACTGGTCAGTGACTGGGGACCCCCTTGGGGGTGAATGTGCAGGCTGGAACGCTATGCGTGCCTTGATTGGCCCCCATCAAGGCTTGGGAGGGAAAATCTGTGTGTTTGCCTCAACTGGCCCCCGTTGAGACTTGAGGGGATTTAGAGGAGTGCACAAGTTGTGCTGGTCTTGATTGACCCCATCAAGACAGAGGGGTAGTTTCCTCCCCCACTCCGCTTCACGCTGGCCCCTGCAAAAAGGGTTGTTAGGGAATGCTGTAGGAGTTGGTGCTCCCATTGTCAGCAAACTCCCTTTGAGAAGACTAGACTAGAATAAAATAAACTTATTTAACCCCTTATTATGACTCCCTTCCTGTCTTCCCGTCTGACCGGATCAAAAGCAAACCTGCTAGTGAGAGAGGTGCTAGAAGCCCTCCTGTGTCTCCTTCCCAAGAAATGGCGTAGTTGGTGTGTTGACCTGTCCAACAGAAAGATGGACAGTGGAACTGATTGGAGAGTATGAAGGAGACAGTAAGATTAGCCTGGCTGAATTGGAGGCTTTATGTAGGGTGATAATTTTTTTGGGCGGTGGAGGAAGTGGATTGTGGAGAGCCTTGAACGCCTAACTGAAGGAGATTGACTAGAGAGTACAAGTAGTTGGAAACCACAGAAGGATCATAGATGTGGAAAATACTGAAGAGATAGTCTATTTTGACTCTTTAATTTTACAGATAATGAAACTGAATATGAGAGACGTTAAGTGACATGCCCAAGGCTTCATAGGTAATTAGGAGAACCAAGATTCAATAGGAGAACCAAGATTCAAACCTAGGTTCTCTGCCTGCAAATTCAGTGCCCTTTTCATGATACCAAGCTCCCTCAAGATCTTTTTGAGCAGGAAAGCTTATTAATTTTTGGTAAAACTCCAAATTTTGTTATCTCAAGAGGCTTATTAAATTTTTTAAGGGACTTTCTAACTTTCTGGGCATCACATGGTTCTCAGGAAAGGGAGGACCTGTTTGGTTTGTTGTTCTAAAAGACATGATGGTTTGTATCACAAGTGAAATTTAACAAATAGGTAAACTGAGGCAAGATATCATTTATTAACAAAGACATGAGACCTGATAATAAAGGATGGTGAATAAAGGATTGAACTTCTGGGAGACAAAATTCTGAGCACAATCAATCTATTAGGCTAGCAGTAACCAATAGATTGGGTCATTGGCACTTCTGGATGACCAAAGACCATGAACAAGGGCTGACAGGATCTTTTATAACAATTAGCAACATGACAGAATAAAATCTTGAGCAAGATAGGCATGTCTTCTGATTGGCTATCAATAACATATTTAGGATTGAGGTTACATCATTTGACTTCCCCTGGCAAAGACAAGGAAATTCCAATTGGTAGACATTTTAATGAGCCGGTGGGTTAAGAGTTCTCAGCTCTTCCCTGTTGCTTCATTATGGGGTGCGGGAGAGAGGGAGAACTAATCCGCAGGTGAAAGGATTAGTCTGAAGCTAGAGAAAGTGGGCTGGCCTTCAGATGTGGCTGATAATGCCCCTTTCTGACCCTTACGGAATGCTAGTTGCTTTGAGACCCAGCTGCCACTGGCAATCTTTGCTGGAAAAACATAAACCATCTCAATCAGGTTCTCTCTGGCTTGGTTCCCAAGTGCACCCCCTCTCCCCCCCACCATGTGACCCAGGTAATCCCTAACTTTGATTAGGAAAAGCAAGGACACAAGAGTCATCCTCTGGGGAGGGCCTAGCTTCCACTGGCTTCTGTTCTTATGGGTAAACAGAAACCAGGGCTCCACTTGGGAGGAACCCAACCCAAGGTGGTTAAAGAGAAGATGCTTGATCAAGATCACACCCTTCTGAAACTGCCTGTGGAGTCTGTCAAAATGAGAAAAAAAGAAGGATCACAGAGAAATATTAGTTGTTAAATAATACAGCACAATTTTAATTTTCCTCATTTGGAAAACTTTTCTCAGGGGCTATCTCAGGGAGGGTGCCTAGTGCAGTGAAAAGATCACTGGGTTTACTTAAGAGTCAGAACTGGGTTTTGGAGTTCTCCCTCTGATACTTACCAGCTGATATGAGGGTGAGTCATTTCACTTTTCTGAGATTCATCA